AGGTGGGCACTGGGCACTTCCATCACCTCCAGGTGGGCACTGGGCACCTCTGAGGTCTCCAGGTGGGCACTGGGCACCTCCAAAGTCTCCAGGTGGACATTTGTCACCTCCTCGGGGGGTTCCAGGTGGGCACTGGGCACCTCTGATGTCTCCAGGTGCACAGAGGGCACCTCCAAGGTTTCCAGGTGGGCACTGGGCACCTCTGTGGGCTCCAGGTGGGCACTGGGCACTTCCTTGGGGGTCTCCAGGTGGCCATTGGGCATCTCTGACGTCTCCAGGTGAGCACTGGGCACCTCCAAGGTTTCCAGGTGGGCATGGGGCACCTCCATCATCTCCAGGTGGGCACTGGGCACCTCCGTGCCGAGTTCCAGGGTCACAGGAGGCACCTCCAAAGTCTCCAGGTGGGCACTGGGCACCTCTGAGGTCTCCAGGTGCACAGGGGGCACCTCCAAGGTTTCCAGGTGGGCACTGGGCACCTCCTCCATGGTCTCCAGGTGGACATTGGTCACCTCAGGTGGTGGTGGCAGCACCTGGAGCTGGACATTGGTCACCTGGGAGGGCGGTGGCATCGCTTGGAGCTGGACTTTGGTCACCTCAGTGGCCTGGAGATGGACACTGGTCATCTCAGGTGGTGGTGGCAGCACCTGGAGCTGGACACTGGCCACCTCACCTGCTCGGAGCTGGACACAGGTGACACCTGAGGGTGGTGGCTGCGCCTGGAGCCGGACATTGGTCACCTCAGGGGGCGGTGGCAACACCTGGAGCTGGACATTGGCCACCTCACCTGCCTGGAGCTGGACACAGGTGACATCCAGGGGTGGTGGCAGCACCTGGAGCTGCACTCTGGTGACACCTGAGGGCGGTGGCAGCGCTTGGAGCTGGACACTAGTCACCTCAGGGGGTGGTGGCAACACCTGGAGCTGGACTTTGGTCACCTCGGAGGGCGCCGGCAGCACCTGGAGCTGCAGCCCTGTGACACCTGTGACACCTGTGACACCTGGCACCCCTGTCACACCTGGCACCCCTGGCACCCCTGTCATTCCTGTCATACCTGTCACCCTTGTCACCTCAGTGGCCTGGAGCTGCACCCCTGTGACACCTGCAACACCTGTCACACCTGTGACACCAGTCACACCTGTCACACCAGTGACACCTGTGACACCAGTCACAGCTGTCACACTTCTCACCCCTGTGACACCCGTGACACCTGGCACACCTGTCACACCAGTAACACCTGGGACACCTAGGACACCTGTCACCCCTGCCCCCTCTGTCACACCTGTCACCTCCCTGCCCTGCACCTGGACGTTGGTGACCTCCGGCAACACCTGGAGCTGCACACCT